CCACCCCACGCCACCCCACCCACCCCACGTGCTTCTCTCGGGGTCTCTGCTCTCCACTGTGGGTCTCCGCTGGGGCTCCCACTCTGAGCTGGGCTATGAACCCCCTGGTCCTCAGAGGGAGGGTCCAGGCTCTGGTCCCCACCTCCCGGGAGCGGCTGGCCCCTGTGCCAGCCCGAGGAAGGCAGCCGGGCAGGGGCCTCACCCAGAGTCGCTGGCACGGGCCGCACTGAGGGGCCCCCAGGTCCTGCCACACTTACAAGTATCTGGTGACACCTCAGAAACCTGATTCTCACACCCCATTTTTGGAAAAGCTTTTTTTATGGTGGAAAATATCAAATATCCACAGAAATACTGACAGTTTAGTGGTAGTTCATGTTCAAGACCGCTTCCTGGGCAGCACCCCCGTCCTGCCAGGAGGCACCCCCTGTGCAGCCCCTCCGGTGAGTGAGCCTTGACCAGCAGGCTCAGCTGCGATCTCCCTCCTCCGCCCCTGCCCCTGGGCCTTTTGTCACACATTTAACAGCCACGTGATTGCGTGGTGTGAGGCTCCCTTAGGGACTGCCGTGCCCCTGTGTCAGCTGCGCTTAGTGAAGGGTTGCTTCTCGGACGCCCCGATGGGTGCCCTGCCCCACCGCAGGGCCTTCAGAATAATGACCTGGCACCCCAGCAATGGCCAGTGGGGACGAGGGTGCAACAAGCACCTACCCCCTGGTGCCCACACCAAGGAAGGTGGTGGCGGGAAGCAGGAAGGCAGGGAGGACCGGAGGGTGTGCCAAAGGACACGGGCGACCGGAGGCCACTCTTGGAGAGGCTCACAGACACACCTGTGAGGTGAAGACACCTCCGGCCACACGCTGTCGGCGGCAGCGCCAGGGTGGGCCTGTGTCTGGCTGAGTGGCAGTGTCTGCGGGCTGTGAGGTCAGCACAGGCGGGTCTGCCCGCACAGAATGTGCTCCATCGGGGAAAATTAGTCTAAGGATTTGGCCAAGTTCTGTGTGCCATTAAGTCAGGCGGGTGAGTTTCTTACTAGGTCAGCCTATCAGTTCAGAACCAGATACCTCCAGCCTAATTACCCAGGTTAGCACACAGATTTCTGGGAACCCATAGCCCCTCCAAGCACCCAACAATAGCCATGCAATCTTCGCACAAAAACGTGCAAACCCACCCACACGTGCGTAGTCAGCAGGGGTTTGAGAAGGGTTTTCCGTCAATGAGACGCTCCCATGTTAACTAATAGCACCTTTACACTAAAAAGCAGAGGACACCAGGGCTCTGACATGGGGACTAGCCTCTTACAGAGAGAAGCTTAAGACTCCAACCAGCTTCTTCCAGGACAACCTGGGGCCCTGAGCCAGCCTCTGTTGACCTGGGAGTTGTAGTCAGCAGGGGTTTGAGAAGGGTTTTCCGTCAATGAGACGCTCCCATGTTAACTAATAGCACCTTTACACTAAAAAGCAGAGGACACCAGGGCTCTGACATGGGGACTAGCCTCTTACAGAGAGAAGCTTAAGACTCCAACCAGCTTCTTCCAGGACAACCTGGGGCCCTGAGCCAGCCTCTGTTGCCCTGGGCCCTAAGCCAGCCTCTGTTGACATGGGCCCTAAGCCAGCCTCTGTTGACCTGGGAGGTCAGCTAAGCTTCTTAAAGAAACCTGGGCCCTCGCCAGTTTGGCCCAGTGGATGGAGTGTTGGCCCTCAGACTGAAGGGTCCTGGGTTTGATTCCAGTCAAAGGCACGTACCTTGGTTGCAGGCTCGATCCCCAGCCCCAGTTGGGGTGCGTAGGGGAGGCAACCAATGGATCTGTCTCACATGGATGTTTCCCTCTCTGTCTCTCCCACTTCCTTCTACTCTCTCTAAACGTCAATGGAAAAATATCCTCGGGTGAGGATTAACAAAACAAACAAATAAGAGAAACCTCTGCTGACCTCAGACTCCAACATCAGAATCTTAACACATTGCGGGCGGATCACGAGAATTCTCGTGTTTTCATATTACACAGTGTTTTACAAACTATCATACTTTAAAAAGATATTAGCTTGTAATAACATGTAATAACTTCAAAATACAATGGGTATTTAATTTTAAAGTGTGCCTTTAACTATATAAAATGTTTTTTGTACTCATAAAGCTAGCAATAAAACTACTGGTCTGTTGCCCTAGCGGTTTGGCTCAGTGGATAGAGAGCATCAGCCTGCGGACTGAAGGGTCCCGGGTTCGATTCCAGTCAAGGGCACATGCCCAGGTTGTGGGCTCGATCCCCAGTGAGGGGGGGGGCGTGCAGGGGGCAGCTAATCAATGATTCTCATCATTGATGTTTCCCTCCCTTTCTCTCTGAAATCAATAAAAATATAAAACCTACTGGTCGGCAATGTGTTAAGAGCTGAGATCTGTCCTTACCAGCTTCAGTGGACTGTCACCCGGAGCCATGGCTCAGGAGTTGGCTCACCAATGGATCCCCGATCAGCCAGGAGTGAGCGCCGAGTCTTCAGGGGTGTACCCGTGGGCCGTGGTGTGAGAGGTCCGGGGATCCAGCCATGAATCCGATCTTAGCTGAGTCACGGCACCATCACTGTCCAAGAAAAACCAGAGCCGGACAGTAGTTAAAGCGGCAAAACCAGATTTTATTCAGGACTAATGCAGCGGGGGAAGAGACCTCCGTGTAGATGTGGGCAAGTGGGCACTACAGCCAAGGAGCAGGGCGGCCATGGGTGGGAAATTCCTCGTCGGGCTGAGGGTAAGGCCGTCCGGCCAACAGGTTCTGGGTGAAGACACGGCAGGGACCACAGCCCCAGGGTCGGTGGCGGCCGAGGAGCTGAGAGGGTGCGGAGGGTGATCCGACTGGGAGGTGGGACTCAGGGCGACTATGAGCCGGCGGCACCGGGACGCCCGGCTGGAAAAGCCTCCGGGAGCCCCGTGGAGTGCGGGCAGGGAGAGCATCTTTGCCGGACTTCAAACATTGGCCAGATCTTCTCTGGGTGGAACGCATGCCCCTAACGTCAGCCCCCAAAAGCGAGATTAGCAGGAAGCACTCCACTTGCTACGGAGCCAGAGGGGTGTCTCGTTGCGGGGCCCTGTTTGCCTCCTCCGGACACTTCCGGGCAAGCTCACTCACATCTGTGTCACCGACCCTGTGCAGGCGCATGCACACATGCGACGTGAGCAACCACCCCCGTCATTAAAACATAGGGCGCGGCCTGCTTCCCTTCCTCCTTAACGACTACAAACAACACTGCCCAGAACATGCTTCAGCACACGAGTTCCCGTCCCCCATTCAGAATGACCTTTAATGAATTTTTTAATTTCTTAAAAATGAAGATCTCACACGCCCTGACGGGGAATCAAACCGGCAACCTATCGGTGCGTGCGACGACCACGCTCAACTACTGAGCCACGCCAGCTGAACGATTTTATTTATTATTTTTTAACATATATTTCTATTGATTTCAGAGAGGAAGGGAGAGGGAGAGAGGGATAGAAACATCAATGATGAGAGAGAATCATGGATCAGCTGCCTCCTGTACACCCCCTACTGGGGATCCGAGCCCACAACTCGGGCATGTGCCCTGGACCGGGAATCGAACCCTGACCTCCTGGTTCATAGGTGGATGCTCAACCTCTGAGCCATGCCGGCCAGCATATTTTCTTTTTAAATTTATTGTTGAGAGTATTACAGATGCCTGCCATTTCCCCTCTCTGCCCCTCTCCACCCAGCTCCCAACCCAGCCCAGCCTCTCCCCTGTCTATTGTCTATGAATATATGCCTAATAGTTCTTGAATAATCTCTTCCCGCCAGATCAAACCACTGACCCAAACCACTGACCCAAACAAATGTTCTGGATTCATCTCTTCCCGCCCTCCCTCCACTTTCACTCCGAGATCTGTCCTTCTGTTCCATGCTTCCATGTCTAAGGTTCTGTTTCGTCAGTTTATTTGGTTCATTAGATTCCACATGAGTGAGATCATGTGACACTTGTCTTTCTCCCACTGGCTTACTTCACTCAGCATAATAGCCTCCAGGTCCCTCCAGGCTGTCTCAACGGGTAAGAGGTCCTTCTTTTTTACAGCCGCATAGTAATCTATGGTGTAAATGTACCACAGCTTTTACCCACTCATCTACCGATGGGCACTTGGGCTGTTAACAAATGCACCCCTCAAACTCTTTGCTCCCCAGTCCCCACCTACCTGGCCCAGCCTGCCTGGCTCCTTCTTCCCTCTGTGGGGCCCCTTCTCCACCTACATCCCAGGAGACCTGGGAACTGGATCAGCAGGCAGACACTCTGGCCTGTGTCCATGTGGTGTTGGGGACAGGGCCTGCCCTATGCCACCTGCCTCTATTCCCAGTAACCTTCACAGGTGCCCTGAGGGCACCAGCTCCCGGTAACAGCGGCTCCTGGGAAAGGCGGACCATCCCTGCACCCATGCACACGTGTGTGTGTGTGTGTGTGTATGTGAGCGCGTGTGTGTGTGTGTGTGCATGCGCTCTGGCCTGTGTCCATGTGGTGTTGGGGACAGGGCCTGCCCTATGCCACCTGCCTCTATTCCCAGTAACCTTCACAGGTGCCCTGAGGGCACCAGCTCCCGGTAACAGCGGCTCCTGGGAAAGGCGGACCATCCCTGCACCCATGCACATGTGTGTGTGTGTGTATGTGTGTGTGAGCGCGTGCATGTGTGTGTGTGTGCATGCGCACGCGCGCGCGTGTGTGTGTGTGTGTGCACTCACACCTGCCTGACCTTGGTCCAGCCCGCGCCAGGCTGGAAATGACAGCTGTGCTGGTCCCACGTATTCCACCTGGAGTGTGGCCAGCCTGCAGGAAGGGGCAGAGGTCGGAGGAGGGAAAGGGGACCCTCCACAGGCTGGCTCCCGCCCCATAAATACCCACGCGCAGAGGCAGGGCCCCCCAGGAAGGGACACGCACCATGGGGCGCCTGGAGCTGGCTGTCTTAGGCCTCACCTGCTGCTTGGCAGTAGTGAGCGCAGCAAAGGTAAGCGAGAGCCCAGTGGGCGAGGAGGGGCCCCTGTCTGCTCCCCTAACTGGGCCTGGGAACTGGGTCCGGCACCGGTGATGGGGAGATGGGGAGGCCCTGTCTGCTCCTCTAACCCGGCCTGGGAACTGGGTCTGGCACCGGGGGTGGGGGGGCAGGCAGATGAGGCGCTGGCAGGAAGAGCCCCCGAGGGCCCACACCCAGCAGGCACTTTCCTGGCCCTTCCTCTGCTCCTGCATCCGCACACACACGATGGCGAACTCCCCTAACTGGGCCTGGGAACTGGGTCCGGCACCGGTGATGGGGAGATGGGGAGGTGAAGGGGGGCAGGCAGGTGAGGCGCTGGCAGGAAGAGCCCCCGAGAGCCCACACCCAGCAGGCACTTTCCTGGCCCTTCCTCTGCTCCTGCATCCGCACGCACACGATGGCACAGGCGCAGCTCAAATACAGGACGCCCACGAACTTGAACGTCAGAAACCACGAATAAGTTCTGGGACAGGTGCTCTCCAGGGCACACAGGGTGCACTGACGCCCAACACAAACAAAACCCCAGGGTCACTGGCGTCCTCAGTGCTGATTTGCAGAGTCTGCCTTGGCCACCAGGGCCCTCCGGCTCTGCCTCTGTCCGGGGATGGCCATGGCCCCTGCACAGAAGGGAGCTGGGCCCTGAGCAGGCCAGCAGGTTGCCCATCACAGCCCCCAGCGTCGGAACAGGAGTCTGGACCTCGGTCTAGTTCAACCGGGTGCCTGGCCCCCGGCCCCCAAGAAGGTGCGACACCCACCTGCTTGCCGGTGGCCGGGGCCCCTCCAGGGTCACTCAGGAGCCTCAGGGCAGCTACAGGGTCTCCTTCCTCATGGCCCTGCCACAGGGTGAGGAGCGGGGCTTCCACAGGAACCCACAGCTACAGGCAGGCGTGACTAGGGGACCCCACGCTCCACCATGCTGCTGTCCCTCCACCCCTCACCCTCTCCCCCTGGGACCTACCTTCGGCCCCCGGAAGTTCAGAGACTGGCCCTGGGCCCTCTGCCATGGAGAGGTCCCTCTCTTTCTTTGGGGGAGTCTTTTCTGAGGCTGAAGGAACTGGGTTATTCCACTCGGCTCCAGCAGCCAGCACCACCTTACCCCTCCACACCCTTCACCGCCCCCCAACCCCCACACACACATACTGCCTGCAGGGCCAGGGCCCCTATGCCCTTGGCCCTCCCTGTTGGGGCCCTCAGGCCGACCTCCATCACACAGAGACACGTAGGTGAGGTGACCCAGTTCCCCAGGCAGACCTGGTCGTCTGTCCCTTCCCAGCAACCATGGAGGCTGGTCAGGAAAAATGCCTGGAGGCCTGGCCACTGGAGGCTCATCCTGGGATGAGGAAGAGAGAGAGAGAGAGAGAGAGAGAGAGAATGGGCCCAGGCCTACACCTGCCTCGGGGCCCCTCCCCCAGCCCAAAGCACCTGGCCCCTCCTCTTCAATTCCAGCCGCCCCCTCCCACCCCATCTGGGTCTGGGGTGCGGGTTGCCCCGCCCTTGCACACCTGGAACCTAGCACAGGGGAGAGCTGGGAAGCTGCCACCTGCCACCAGCACCCGGGGCGGCGTGAGGGGAAGAGCCTGGCTCTGGTCACACAGCCGCCCCAGCAGGGCGGCTTCAAGCAGGAAAGCTGTTCCCTCCAGGGGCAGGTGGATGAGCGCCGGGCCCAGGCACTGGGCGGATGGGGACGGTGGTCCCCGTGGGCACACAGCAGGGGCCCCGATGGCCTGGGAGGGAGCACAGGCTCACAGGACAGGGTGGGGGTAAGGGGAGGAGAAGGAAGGCCCCCCTCAGGGCGCTCACAGCCGGGCATGAAGCATTCAGTGCCCACGAACGGCTACCACTGCCGACAGCTGGACAAGGCCACAGGCCAAGCAGGACACACTGCGGTCACCCATCTAACACACAGGGAAACTGAGGCTCATGGCCACAGCTAGGCCAGAATCCAAACCTCCCCCCGCCTCTTGCAGCCTTGCGGGAAGGCTTCCCTGAGCAGAAACATGCCCACCTGTTAAAGCAGCCTCCTCTGAGGTTCAGGGGCAGGGCATCCCCGGGGGCAGGCAGCAAGCTGCTCCTCAGTAACATGGGCAGGAGGGGGTCCTGGTCTCAGGTGCAGATCAGCCCCTCCTTGGAGCTGTGTCTGGGCCCCTGGAACCTGCTGGGGTGGCCCCACCCCACTGGCCCGCCCAGCCTGCGCCCCCTCAGCCTGGCCCTCTCCCCAGCTGGGTGCGGTGTACACGGAAGGAGGCTTCGTGGAGGGCGTCAACAAGAAGCTCGGCCTCTTCGGCGGCAACTCTGTGGACGTCTTCAAGGGCATCCCCTTCGCCGCCCCGCCCAAGGCCCTGGAGAACCCCCAGCGGCACCCCGGCTGGCAAGGTGGGGGGGGGGGCCCTGGGCTGGCCCTATGCCTGGGGTGGCGGGGGGTGGGGGCATGTCAGAGAGGACTCACTGCTCCATCCTGGCGACTATGCCAGGTGTGGGAGCACCCGCTCCGTAGCCGCTCATACTTCTGAATCCTCCTCAAGGCTCCAGGTGTCAGAGCCAGTTCCTCCTTGAACCCGGCTCGCTGTACTCACTGTTGGGAACTCCGTTCCTCCTTTATCCTCTGCTCCACTCGAACTGTCAGGGGCTGGACCTAATTGGACCTCGGGTGGTAGACGGAGAAGCCATGAGAAGTTGTGGGTGGATGAGAGAATCTTTACTGCCAAGCTAATGGCCATTGCTAACAAGGAGCCATAGACAAAACAGTTCTTCAAAGCAAAGTCCCAGACAGCAGATAGCTGCACACCAGCTGGGCAACAATCCATCTTCCTCTCCAAGCATAGCCTCCGGCATCGGAGCTAGGTATCCAGAAGCCATCCTTAGAGCTACAGCCTCACCGAGCAGCCGCGCCTGCTGGCCAGTAACAACCTTATCCGACTCAAACAAAACAGGCTTTTGCCAGTCTTTTGAGTTATAGAAGGGCATGCTTGCGCGCACACACACAGATTACTGTGACCTTGCACTTGTGTATAGTCCTTGGATACCCTGATTAAGATTCCCACACGCAGAGTGGCCTGGAATATCCGGCGTACTCTGAATAGGGTCCCCACAGGCCACCATCCTCATACCAGGCCCCCTGGTCACCCACAGGGACCCTGAAGGCCAAGGACTTCAAGAAGCGATGCCTGCAAGCCACTATCACCCAGGACAACACCTATGGCTCAGAGGACTGCCTCTACCTCAACATCTGGGTCCCCCAGGGCAAGAAGGAAGGTGTGCCCCCCTGTGCCCTCCAGCTCCCCAAACCTGCAGAAAGTGCCCAGGCAGCCAGAGGCCCAGCCCTGCCCATCCCCTTGGCTGTGTGTGGGCTCCAGAGCTGAAATTCCCTGAAACAAGCACCCAGAGGGGGTGGGGAGGGGGCAGCTGGGGTCACCGGGCTCATTTCCTGCCTCAGTTTCCCGGAACCTGCCTGTCATGATCTGGATCTACGGAGGAGCCTTCCTCATGGGTTCTGGCCAAGGGGCTAATGTCCTCAAAAACTACCTGTACGACGGGGAGGAGATCGCCACGCGGGGCAACGTCATCGTCGTCACCTTCAACTACCGCGTCGGGCCCCTAGGCTTCCTCAGCACTGGGGACGCCAACCTGCCAGGTGTGCTGGGCGCCTTGGGCTGGAAATGGGGGAGCCTGGCAGGGGCCCTTCAGCACCCCTCAATTCCAATCAACTCCGGACAGCCCCTGGAAAGTCCCAGGATTCTATTCCCAGAACCAGGAAGCTGGGGATGGACAGTGAGACACAGAAGTCCATCGGCAGCTGTAGCGAGAGAAGAGGCTGCTAGTCATCCAAGCAGGGACCAGGGACACCAGGGAGCGGGGACAGGGACCCAGGGACACCAGGGAGCGGGGACAGGGACCCAGGGACACCAGGGAGCGGGGACAGGGACCCAGGGACACCAGGGAGCGGGGACAGGGACCCAGGGACACCAGGGAGCGGGGACAGGGACCCAGGGACACCAGGGAGCGGGGACAGGGACCCAGGGACACCAGGGAGCGGGGACAGGGACCCAGGGACACCAGGGAGCGGGGACAGGGACCCAGGGAGAGACAGAAGATGAGACACTGAGGTGGTGACTCAGGGGACACAGAGTCGTAGGACAGACAGACAACAAGAGGGACGGTGTCAGGGAGAGAGATGAGCAGCCTGGCCCTCCTGCTCCTGGTCCCCTACCTGAGCCCCACACCCCCTCCAGCACCTCATTCAACCAGGTTCCTGGGGACCCGCCCTGCACCATCCTGGGGCTTGACAGGGGCCTCCACATGGAGGACGCTCTCCCCCCACCCCAGTCCCTGATGGGCTCCCCCACCTGCCCCAGGTAACTACGGCCTTCGGGACCAGCACATGGCCATCGCGTGGGTGAAGAGGAACATTGCGGCCTTCGGGGGGGACCCCGACAACATCACCATCTTTGGGGAATCAGCTGGAGGTGCCAGCGTCTCTCTGCAGGTCGGGGACGGTGGGAGGGCGGGCCTTCCTCCCAGGGTGTTAGTGGGGAGCTCAGGGGGAGCTGATGGCGCTGGGTGAGCGGATGGGAACTGGGGGAGCTGTTGGGGGTTGGGGGAACAGATGGGAGCTGGGGGAGCCAATGGGAAGTGGGGGAGCAGATGGGAGCTGGGTGAGCTGATGGGGGTGGGGGAGCTGATGGGAACTGGGGGAGCTGGTGGGGGCTGGGAGAGCTGATGGGAACTGGAGGAGTGGATGGGAACTGGGGGAGCTGATGGTGGCGTTGGGGAACAGCATGAAGCTGACAGTCTGGCTGTCCTTGGTGGAGCCCGGGTGAGGGGGAGCTGATGGGGGTTGGGGGAGCAGATGGGAACTGGGGGAGCTGATGGGGGCTGTGGGGAACAGCATGAAGCTGACAGTCTAGCTGTCCCTGGTGGAGCCCGGGTGGGCAGGAGAGGCGAGGCCATGGTGACAGGACCTCTGTGTGTCGCAGACCCTCACTCCCTACAACAAGGGCCTCGTCCGGCGAGCCATCAGCCAGAGCGGCGTGGCGCTGACCCCCTGGGCCATCCAGAAGAACCCTCTCTTCTGGGCTAAGCAGGTAAAGGGGAGCTGCGGTGGGGGAGGGGAAGGGTTACCTCCTGTCCATGCCCTGTCCTGGACCCCATCCCCCTCTGCCCTGCACTGGCCTCACCTACCTGTCTCCCCACAACCCCCAGATCGCCAAGAAGGTGGGCTGCCCCCTGGAGGATACCGCCAGGATGGCCAAGTGTCTGAAGGTCACCGACCCCCGGGCTCTGACGCTGGCCTATAAGATGCCCCTGGCGGGCATGGAGTGTGAGTGGGGGCTCCACATGGGGGGACCGCCATGCTTTCAAGGAGCGAGGAAGTGCCGGGTCTGAGGGCTGGCCCTGTGCGGAGGGCGCCATCCTCCCCCTTATCCTCCCTGGGTCCTGACGCCTTTGGGAAACTGATGCACATTTGGGCGACAGCCAGCAATGCCACATAGTCATTTGCACCCAATTTTAAGCACCAGACCGAGCACCTTTGCACTAGAGGACTGGTCACTCTCCTGCACTCACTCACTCGCTCACTGCCCCCTGCACCCCGCTGCTGTCCATGCAGACCCCATGCTGCACTACCTGGGCTTCATCCCTGTCGTGGACGGAGACTTCATCCCCGACGACCCCATCAACCTTTTCGCCAACGCGGCCGACATCGACTACATCGCTGGCACCAACGACATGGACGGCCACATCTTTGCCAGCATCGACATGCCGGCCATCAACAAGGACAAGCAGACCGTCACGGGGTGAGTAGGGTGCAGGGCCAGGGCGGTGCCCGAGGGCCTCTTGGGGAGGCGTCAGCTGAGGGAGGAGGCCGACAGGTGAAGCAGGCCATCTGCAGGCCCCTGGGGTTGGGGGTGCTGATGGGTCCTCTACTGCAGGCCCCGGGTACAGGGTCCAGTGCCGGCTTGATCCCTGCAGGGAGGACTTCTTCAAGCTGGTCAGCGGACTCACCTTCGCCAAGGGGCCCAGAGGTGCCAATGCCACCTTTGACCTCTACACGGCGTCCTGGGCCGAGGACTCCTCCCAGGAGGCCAAGAAGAAGACGGTGGTGGACTTTGAGACCGATGTCCTCTTCCTGATGCCCACGAAGATGGCCCTGGCCCAGCACAGAGCCAATGCCAAGTGAGGTCCCGGGCAGGGGAGGCCCACCTAGGTCATGCACCTGCCCAGGAAGGCCTCCCCAGTGGGCGGCTCAGGGGGTCAGGGAGGCCCGGGAAAGCCGTGATGGGGTCCCAGCGGTGCCGGCACCATGTGCCCTGCCCAGACCTGACGAGACTTGAGAAGGCCCCTCCTCTCCTCCCAGCTCAGGGGCCTTTACAGGGCCCTCCTCAGCCCACAGGCCTCCCCTGGCAGCATCCGCTATCTACTCCCCTCCCCCACGCTGAGTAGGACAGAATGGGGGATGATGATCTCTGTTGTGGGTTTGGAGTTTGCCAACAAGCAAACCAACTTTGGCCTGTGGCCACCAAGTATTCCTCCAGTGAAAACAAAAAGTAAGTTAGGGATGCTGACACGGAAGGGAGAGAAAATGATACCATTCGGTGAAGAACAAAAATTCATTTGCAGAGAAAATGAAGGAAGACGCCTCAATACACAGAACCCACAACCCCTCGGCCTTCCCTTCCCCGGTGCAGGGACCCAGGTCCCTCCTGAGTCTGGGGATTTCCCGGCTCCTCCTGCTCTCCCCATGGCTTCCTCCAGGGCCCAGCTCTGGGCTTCACAGCCCAGGTGAGCTCCCTGCCAACCTGGGCCATGTCCCTCCCTCCTCAGGAGTGCCCGGACCTACACCTACCTGTTCTCCGAGCCCTCTCGCATTCCGTTGTACCCCAGCTGGGTGGGCGCCGACCACACCGATGACCTCCAGTACGTGTTTGGGAAGCCCTTCGACAACCCCCTGATCTACCGGGCCCAAGACAGGACTGTCTCCCGGACCATGATCGCCTACTGGACCAACTTTGCCAGAACTGGGTAAGGCGGG